CGGACCTGGTCTCTAATATCCAGCTCAACATCTCCTGAGACAGTGCCGTCATACTGGGCCAATGCATCCTGCAGCCTCCACTAGAACTCCTCCTCATATGGAGACGCTGCCTGGGGGCTAGCTAGATCCATTGTCCCATGTTAATCTCTAGATAGGGATGCTGCACGAATGCTAGCACTATCCCATAAGATACTCCGGTGTCCCAGGAATGCTTCCCTACTTGCTCGGGAAGTCCAAATGTGATGGACTGCCTGGTACCCTGGTTGGGTACCTCTGTCAAGCTTGCTTCCTAGCTCTCCACCAGGACACCCGTAGTGCTTCAGCCCCTAGTCACCCCAGCTTGGCTCAGTAACTTCCCGCCCTGGAACATGGTCCTGGGTAAAGCTCCAAGTTATTAAGCTCTCCTGCAGAGAGTATGGCTGTATGGCCAGTTCACCCAAACACTAACCTAGAATCAGTGAAGGGTTAAAATTAACCAGTGTATTTAGGCATGGCAAACAGTATTTATAGACAGAACCCCAGCATGGGGTCTCAATTCAATACAATACAAGAGATCTGAGAGATAATTGAGTTAGAGACTGTAAGTTAATTATCTCCCAGGAACAGAGAGACAAACATTAAACCATAAAAGTACCCCAAAACATTATAAAAACATATAATAACCCAACATGTCCTACATCTCCTGATCTGAGCACCCAAGTTGACCAAATAGCACTCAGATCAATGCCTAAAATAGTTCCAGAGCAATGTGTGCTTTGGCTGGACAACTTTCGGGAGCACCTTTGGCCGAAAAAGAGGTGCTCCGTCTGGCTCTCAGGAAGTGTTTGTTCCCCTTAGTCTCAGGCATCTTTCCCCCAAAAAGCACTCTCCTGGTGAGTCGCAAAACACCGGACCAAGTTGCCCTGGAACCACAAGGTCACATAGCCGAAAACGGTTCCATAACAATCGTGACTAAGTACCGCTGAGGACCATTTACGGGTTAGTTTGCACAAATTATCCAAAGTGACCGGGAACCACGAAAACCTCATGCCGAAAATAGTCCCATAGGGGTCGCTGATAAGTACCGCTGAGGACCGTTCATTGGTTTGTTCATGTGAACGGCCGCCAGGGAGCTAGCATTCAGTTCAATTCGTGAGTGTTACGGTTGACCCCAGGCTGGCTGAGGGTTGGACCGCTTAGATGTCCTGGTTACCAATCTTGGAGAATAGTAGCAAAGTTCCAAACAATATCCCACGATAATTCTGAAAGTGTAGACATCCAGCTAGCGATAAGTAGAGCTAGTATAAAGTATTTCCCTACAACACGAGTCGAGGCTGCGAGTTGAGGGTAAGAAGAACTGATTTATTGATCACTCAGGCACTGCTTAAATACATATTTCCAGGCCAGAGGAACACCCCTCTGGACCTGATGGTACACAGGATTACAAAGTGTAGCAGCCAATAAGAACAAGTGCATTTTCTAAACACTCCCTCCTAGCCTGGAGATAACTGGTCTCAATGGTTACAGTAACTCCATTATCTCCATGTACATGAAATAATATAACTTTTATGTACACATGAAAACTGAATAAAAATACATAACTTTTACACCATAGTCTTTGAATACCACATTCCCCAGACAGCTTGGATGGGAGCGCACAAGATACACGAAAAGCACTCAGATCTCACGAACGGTAGAGGAACGCCATGGGGATGGAGATTGTCTCAAGGGCTGTTTGGCAAGTATCAGCCCATGTATTCTCGGCCATAGTGTCCGGCGAGGGGTTGGTGTATCCTTCATAGTATCAAAAGTGTCAAACGGCACGCTCTTAGGTGCTTTATGCACGAACGGACGGGGCAAGGTGAATCCCAGCGGGTTCGCGCAGAATAGTGTTTGAAAAGAGAACCAAGCGTTTCACGACCAGGTCCCGCTGGGCGTTCGGCAACAAAAGTTGGCCACCGCCACGTGTTGGAGCATACTAACGACGACCACCCTGTCGATGATCAATTGGGTTGCGGTTAACCACAAAACCGCAGCTTCAGGGTGGTTAACCAGGGGCACACGCCTCAGGTAGGGTGGTCGGTCATTCGGTAGTTGGCTTGTCATTTAATTTGGTACCCCGTTCGACTCTTCTCATGCGAATGGTGACCACTCTGTCGACAATCAATTAGGCTGCGGTTAACCACAAAACCACAGCTCCTGGTTGCTTAATTAGGGACACACTCCTCTGGTAGGGTGTTCGACAGTTTGTTCGGTATTGTGAGAGGTGAACGGGGTTAATTGGCGGCACACGCCAGGAGCCGGGTAGTTGGCCATTTGTATGTAGGAATGGCTTGCAACAGTTTCTTCGGTAAAAAGCAACAAAACTAGTAACAAAATAACAGGGTTGTAGCAGACAGAGGGGACTTTGTAACAGTGAGAAGGGAAAGTGCTCACAGAGGGAAAGCTGCTAAAGGCAGCTGGGCAGGGCAACTCCCGAACAGGGTCTCCGACCTGGACCAAAGTCCACACTCCTCCAGGAGTTCGTGGCAAACGTCCGTGGAAAAAAGCATTTGTCACAGCCTGACATTGAACCAATAATACTACACTTACTGACACTCTCAGCCTATCAGTATCGTCCTGTTCATAATATGGCTTCAGAAAAATTACATATGTTTCTCAAGCTGTTTTATGAATGAGGAGCTGATCGTCTCAACTTATCAGCAGAGCCCTGTTTGAGGCTACCTGTTTCGAGCCATGTACTTATGCGGATGTGGAAGGGGCAGAGCTAAATGGTGCCATACAGAAGACTTTGTGGTTAAACCTTTCGTTAACGGTTTAATCCCTGAATTTAAGCCAACACCAGGAACCTCCTGGCACCACAAAAACTCCATTCAGATTAAATTGTTATGATGCCTGGAGTGTTCCATTAAATTTAATAAATGTACAATATGTAAATAAGTTACTTATTTACATATATAAAGAACTGCCCTACCTTATGACTACAAAAGTGTTATTGTCTCCTTAATATGTTACGTTAAATACCTTATCTCACAGTTTTCCCTTTTGTGTCTGTATGGTGTATTGTGTATGAATGAGATGTAATGTCAGGCTTTATCCATAAAACCAGAAAATCGTGTGAATTCATACAAATTTTTAACATACTCAAGCAGTGCAGATAATGCAAGTTAGAGAATAGCAGGAGTTGTACAATAAAGTGCTTTAACTGGCTCACTTTTTTCATTTATTTTTATTATGGTCTGCAAGCAAAATCCTAAAAGATAAGTAGGTCACAATTTTTTGTTGGGGGTGGGGGGGGGGGCGGCGCAACTGTAGAGGTGTAAAGGTAATAATTTAGATGTGTTCACAATGGTAACTTTGCAGCAGGAACACTTTTTTTTTCCTTTCATATAACTTGATGAATAGGGGTTTTAGTTGAAAATAACTCCCAGGCAGAGGCAGTCTTAAACCTTGCTACAGTTTAAAACCCTGCTTAAAAGTAACACCCAGAAACAGCTAAAGGTTCTCAAAGTATGCCAGCATCCAGGACTTTGGAATCCGCATTTGAAAGTGGAATACCAATGGATCCTGGAGGTCCATGAGAACCTTGTCATATGTACTGTATTCTTCTAACTTGGCTGCTATATTTGGTTTGAAAATTATTTAGGCAAGAGACAGAAACTTACAGAATACATCTGTCCATTGTCGTGGCAATCTTGATTTATGGACCGTAAGGTAGTACACGGGCAGACCGCTCAAAGTGATCGCACAGCCAATGCCTGTATTTACTGGATCTGAGTACAGTGACATCCCCACAATGAACAGGCTCAGGGTAGTAAACATGAAGGGTATGATCAATGGAACCTAAGATTAAGAAATACAATATGAGAGCTTTATCACAGCAGAGCAATTAATTATATTGCCATATGCATGTTAGAAATAATCCTATTAGACTAATAATCTTCTGGGAATAAATTCCAGTACAAACTACTGATAATGCCACACAGTTGTAATAAAGAAAACTAACTGTAGTCACAGTAAATATCCATAATTGTCTTTTTCTTTGTTCCATCTGGGTTCAGATACACAGTGGATAGCCCAATCATACTATGCAGAAATTTCACAAGGGTAACAATCTGAAGAACAGTTTTGGACTAACTGGGCCTGGTACTTTGTAGTGTTGAATGAGCTGTTCAGAGACCTACAATTGTCAGCCCAGCAAATTCTTGCCGAAGGAACCTCAGCCTGAGCACTCCAAGATGAAGCAATTGAGCGGATAGGGTGCACCTAATCCATCTTCACCCATGGAAGGCTCCGCGCAAACTGAACTCTGCAGGGCGGGGGAAGGCTTATAAAGCCTTGCCCCGCCCTGAAATTAGGCTAAGAACACTATGATTGGTAGGTTTAAGCCAATCAGAGTGCTCTTTGTCATTTTACACAGCGTGGGAAAATTCCAAAGAAGTTTCCCACGTTGTGTAAAATGACACAGAGCACTGTGATTGGATGGCTTGAAATCCATCCAATCACAGTGCTCTGTGTCATTGGAATTTTCCCACGCTGTGTAAAATGACACAGAGCACTGTGATTGGATGTATTCCGTCCCCCCCATTGTAATTTATGGCCCCCACCCACCGCGCAGGGGTGGCGGGCGGATAATAGGGGTTTTTTTTTCTACTGTTTATGGCCCCCACCCACCGCGCAGGGGTGGCGGGCGGATAATAGGTTTTTTTTTCCTACTGTTTATGGCCCCCACCCACCGCGCAGGGGTGGCGGGCGGATAATAGGGTTTTTTTTTTCTACTTTTAGTAGACAAGCCCCTACTCGCGGTATAGCGAGTAGGGGCATTCGGGAGATTTTAATCTCCCTTATGCTATTATGGGGGTCATATTGACCCGCATAGAGTGAGGGGGGACCTGGGGGGCTTAGGAAGGGGCGGGGAGCACTGCTCCCTGCTGCTTCTATCTCTACATATTACAAGGAGGGAGCTGCATGCCGGTAGCTCCCTCCTTGTAGTAAACTGAATGAACAAACGAACA